CTCTGCTCTGCTCTGCTCTGCTCTGCTCTGCTCTGCTCTGCTCTGCTCTCGTTTTATAGCACGTTTGCTTCATATATACATGCAAGTTTATTAAAACCCTTAGACGTAATTTCCTTTCTACCTTAAGAATACAAATAAAAGCACTATTACCGCTGCGGGTACTTCAACCCCAAGCGGATTGTCCACGGGAGCGACAATCGGTATTGCTGTTGGAGCTACATTTGGAGTTATTCTGATAGTAGTCTTGGCAGTGCTCATGTACAAGGTGAGTTTATAAGACTTTAGCCTTTAGTTTATTCACACTTGTTGAAAATATGTAATTAGATATTACAAGGGGAAGTATGAAATCAATAAAGAAATCGATGATAGATATGAATTTGTAGAAATAATATGCAGAGAGATGTAGGTCCTAGGTCGGTGGTCAAAGTAATTGGCCGTCACCTTATGATAGACTATTTCAACAATGTGTCGCCCATTTTGAATCGGAAGGCAATATGGGTCCTTCAGAGATGCAAATATACAATTATACAAAGTTTTTTTTTTACAGCAATGACGTCGATTGACATTAATAGTTTACAACAAGACAGTTTGACAAGAGGTGAATTAAAAAATGGACAGTTCTACAACTGAGGATGTGTCTCAAAGATCGTGGGGTCGTCATTTCAGCATATTTGTTTTATTATGCCCCTGGACGCCCCATAGTGCTTGTGTTTCAAAACTGAGGCATTGTTAAGACGTAGCTGAAAAAAGTTTGTGTTTTTCGATGTTAGGAGCAATCTTTTCACGGCAAATTGATCTCTAAAACAAAACCATCACTCCAAAACAGGGCTCTTACGTGAGGTTTAACACACAACATTCAGCTCACATGTTTGCTTTAACCGAGCGAACCGGAGAACCCGGAGAAAATAATCTAGTGGCAGGGCATGACAAATTACTTTAATTTCTACTTTCGTATGTGTGTGTGCTTCTTTTCTACGATCGAAACTCTTTTCTTATTGTTTGTAATTTGAAGCGTGTTGGTAAGAAATCAAGGAAAGTAAACATAACAGCAGAAAACCCTGGTGCTAACGAAGAGAATGAACTAAAAAACAAAGGTTTGATTTCAGAAAGATATGTTAGCATGACATCAACACATCATCTTATCATCATCTTATCATCATTAATCATATATCATCAATTTGCAATCATCATCATCATCACTTAATTTAACAACATCAAAAACATTTCATTATCGTTATCGTTACATTTTCCATTATCATCATCTTCTTCTTCTTC